TTGGATCAAGGTAATATCCTTAATTTCAGGAAAAGAGATCGCAGGGGATGAGAAAGGAACAATTACAAGCAAAAAGGAGACGTCTTAAATGAGCCTAATCAAAACAAGTAGAACCACAAAATTTGTGGGCTGGCACACAAGAGACTAGGACATAGGAAGTGATAGACATGGTATTACAGATAGAAACAGGAAAGACGCAGTGGAGACTAAGTTATTTGGCTAATAATAGACGTGTTTGATCATAGACGTGATCCATGAAGAACGTCTATTTTTAGTCAATTATCTTTATCCTTTACCATATCTATCCTTTTTCTATCCCTAATAACAAATCTATGACTTGCTATGCCCTAGTTTCTTGTGTGCTAACCTACAAACGTTGTGGTTCAACATTGAACCTAATCAAAGCAAGCAGTACCACAACATTTGTGGGTTGGCACACAAGAGACTAGGGCAGGGGAAGTCATAGACTTGGTATTAGGGATAGAAACAGGATAGACGCGGCGAAGACTGGAGCTAGTTGGCTGACAGTAGGTCTTACCAGAGACGTGGTCAATGTAGCAAAGGCTTGATGATGAAACTTACTCAGAGGCTTTAGCCTCGAGCTAGTCACCCAGACTCAGGGGAGGGCGAATAAAGCTTCGAGTAGCAAGTGTCGAGTGAAATTCTTGAATCAGGAATAGCAGACGTATCCTACGGTGCAAGAGGGAGACTCTGATAAGACCTAGAAAAGGACTACGTAACAATATGGCAAACCGATCAACATTTCCAGCACAAGGGTGAAGAAGGGTGAGAACACCACCGTGGAGTGTGGAGGGTTCACATGAATGTCGCTTAAAAGGGTACACCACACTACATCTAAATAAGCATGATAAAAAATTGTAACAGTGAAGGAGTGATACGAGGATATAGGAAATGTGAATAGCCCAGGGCAGAAGGAGAGATACCACAACTTTTTAGCACACGTTTGGTCAAACAATCCGCTTCACTTGTCTCTTTGACGAGTTGTAGTGTGGTGCTAAGAATGGCGAGACTCACTGACGATGCCGACTACGATGCAGGCGAAACGTCTGGGAATGTACCAAGTTCACGTTCAGATGATGATCATGCATACAATGAACTCTGGACTAGGTGCGTTCCTCTAATTCTTCTTGCCAATATGACCAAGTTGCGAAAAGAAGGTCTAACAACTTCCGTATGAGTAAGGCCTACGTTTCCATTGAATTTCACATAGCCTTGCTTCCCAAAAATGTCTTTTTATTCAGATTGGACTGCAGCTTCGGCCTCTTCTAGGTCTCATCACTACCCCCAGCGGGAAGTTAATCATGAGAATGTGAAGTATAATCTCAAAATGTTAACGATTAAGCCACAGGGCAATGCAAATTTCAAGGAAAGTCAGGCATTCTCGCACATCTTATTCTGTGTTAGGATTGTCGATGATGTAAAGTTGTATTTGATATAGCAATAGACTGCTTGACTTATTTTTTATTTATAAGAAAATTTCGAAACTACCATCAAATTTATTATATGAGATGTATTCATCCTTTTTGGATTAAGGGGAGGAAAGACTGGTAGTTGAATTTTAAACGAAATTTCGTGTATACATCTCATTTATCTGATTTATTGGTAGTCTCGAAACTCTTCTTCTAAACGAAAAATAATTAATGTAATCGATAATTATACTAAATATAACTGATTAGCAAACAATTGATCAAGGTATCGACCTTATTTGTCTCTTTGATGAGTTGTAGTGTGGTGCTAACACTGGCAATGCTGACTGACAATGCCGGTGAAACGTCGGGGAACGTACCAAATCTACTTTTGATTCTGGAAATTATCATGCATTCTTTGGACTCCGGGCAAGATGCATTCTTCTAGGTCTTCCTTTCAATACGACCACGTTGCAGAGAGAGCGTCAAACAATTTCTATACACCGAAAGGAGACCGTGACCATACAAGCGGTCACATCCTCTTAGCCTTCATACTTATTTATACATTTTTATATTCATCTCTTATGGAAAGTTCACCGATTTGACTACGTCACTTCACTCTACTTGCTTCCATTATTGGGCCTATTTCTGTATCATTTTTCTTCAGACTTGGCCAATTACTACTCTCCGTGATAAACAGTCCCCGCAGGTTACTAATCCACCGACTTCGCCTGTGGGCACTCATCTCTCCGCACCTTCAAGCCACTTGCTGTCTTCCCAACCTCGTCTCCACCACTGTCAATCCTAATATTAATACGATCTTCCAGGTCGGTCGCGTTGACGCCCTTGATCAGTTTCATGGATTTCAGCTCGCTTCAACCGCCTCATTTGGCTCGCTACGGTCATCCAGATTTGCATCAATGACGCCGCCTCCAGATCGGCTCACTGCTCCGCCAGGCAACGCTACTGCTGCCGATGTTGTAGTCGGTGGTGTTTTGGGTACAGATCGTCTTCTGATCAGCCAAAAGGCCCTGACCTGTCTGCACGAGGCAATCTTGGCCATGATTACTGTCCACCCAGAATATCCACATTTTCACGTCAACGAGGCCTTCTGTAAACCCCTCGAGGCCTTGGTGCAGTTGGGTGAGACCTGGCTCTTCTGAATTTACTCCTGGCTTTCAATACGAGCCATAATCATCCTAGGTCGCAGAAGATGTTGAAGGACTCTGACTGTCGAATTTTCCCACAATGATGTGAGCAGGCATTTCGAAGCCCCGTGGCAGTGTGGCCCAGTGGTACCATGTAGAAGATAAATGCTACACCACTCGGGTTTTGATGAGACCTAGGCAAGGTCCAAATTTTAGCTGATTCGCGAGGATGATAATTCCCTTTGAGAGGCCATTTAATGGCATCGTGGGGCCTACTCATCTCATTATGGGAAAATTAAAATATCAGTCC